TTCACCCCCCCCCCCCCCACTACACAAACTAATGACAATATTATCACCTATACCCTTATCTCCCTCTTACCAAATAAAATTAGGAAACCAAAGAAAAATTAGTAAAAATAAAAAACCCTCCAATTTTAATAATGATCGTTCACTATACTCCCCCCCCCCCCTCACCCTGGATGGACTACAACTGTTTGGATCATTTAGGTACCGTAGGATTATGAATACATATGATAAATCGATAAATTTAGCATAGGTAGGAAATACTTCATAAACTTTAGAAAGATATAAGAATGCAGGCTATTCGGATTTAGTCTGTGAGGTTTGGGGGGAGGGGAAACTTTCCTTAGCTAAAAATTGAAAATTTTTTTTTTGAAAAAGTATACAACATTTTCAAGAATTGCAAGTTACTTTATTTCAAACATGTTTTACTCTATTTTAAGTTATAGCAATAGTTACATAACTATTATATCCACTTCCTCAATTTTTAAAAACCTTTCTTATTTTTTGAATTTATATTGTGATATACAGTGAGGCAATAGAGGAAGAATAGAAAGTAAATAACACTAATAATTTGTGTCACTGGTCAAACTGAGATCATTTTTTCTACCCGTCCATATAAAAAAATATTTACTAGCCCATGGCTCTGCTTTTTACAGCTAGCTTCATACTTGTACTTATTATCTTCAATAGTGTTGTTAAGCTGCTAGATTTGAGCCAATTTTTAAAAAAGGCTAACTCAATATTTTAACCAGAAAAATATTGCCGCTTCGAGATTTCGATAATAGATGTCCAAACCCTTCTGCTGCTACCTATAACTAAAATCTATAGGCTTGCATATATTTTTCTGGATAAAATATTGAGATAGCCGTTTTTAATAATCGGCACAAATTGAGCCGTTTAATAACACTATTCTTTAAGATTTTTGCTTAAATGCCTTGGTTTAAATTTTTAATTTTTATTGTTTTCGTCATTTTAAAAATATATAATTGTGAATAGAAAATTAAAATAATTGGAATAAGTTGGGGGAGGGATTGGGATTAGTTGTAAATTTGTATTTTAAACATTCAAAAAAGACGTGAGGAGGTATTCCAAATGATAATAATACATTGATTCAAGAAACTTGACCACCATACGATTTTAATAACATTATTGCATCATACCTTCACAATAATAAAGGGCCCCGGTGAAATATAAATAAATATGTTTTATTAACCAAATAAAGTAAGATGAGTTTTTTAATACAATTATTAATATTTTAATTTTAAAATATAAAGATAGGAAAAAAACTTTATACAAAAATCTAAGAAAAAAATAATGTTAAAAGTGAATGTTAATTTTTTAAGCAAAAATAGAAAAAATCGAAATCGGATTAAATTATTTTTATTTCAACAAAGAAACCCAATTCTGGTTATGGACACCACTTGGACCAAATTATTTTAAAACCTAAAAACCAAATCAAAACTCATAACTTTTGGCAGGCTTGAATCTAGATCGGGTTCAGCTATAGTAATTTAGGATTATATTTGTATGAACTAATTTCCTGGAGCATGTAAAAAAAATTATTTTTACCTTATATTTTACCTAATACAAAGTGAACATGATAGCAATCAATAATAGAGATCTGCAAAGTTAGGCCCGGCTCGGGCCTAATTTTATTTAAAATAATCGGGTTCGGGTCGGGCCGGGCCTAATATTTTTAAAAAAATTTCGGGCCGGGTCGGGTCGGACCTTGGAAATTTTATTAAATATATCTAAATTTATCAATTTTATATTGAATTTTTTATGTAAAATAAAATTTTTTGATTTAATTTATTGAAGCTAAACGCTATATAACATATGTCTTTTATTTTAAGTAATTATAAAAATTAATTTCTATATTTAAATAAATTCGAGCCTGGCGGGCAGGTAAATTTTTTTAAAATAAATTTCGGGTTAGGGCTGGGCCGGCAAAACTTTTTAAAAAAAATTTCGGGCCAACTAATCAATAATACAATTTTCTTTTCATATCATTCATCTATTTTTTAATAAAACATTGATATAGTTAGTCACTTTTAAAATTCTTATTTAATTGTAACTTTTTTTACAGATTATAAAATACGTTTATTAGCCATTAGAAGTTTTGAAATGGTAATATCTCACGTTGTAAGAGTTGCATTTTTAATTTTATTTAATCCAATACTTTTTACTATCCTTATAACGATACTAGGTCCATTAAAACCTACAATTAAGAATGGTTCAAATTAAAACAATTAATCCCAACAGACTTTATAGTCATCGCTTAAATTCTAAAATATTGCTCTATTTAATTCTATTATCTTGTCTATACATAGAAATAAAAATTTAAAAGATATTTTCTACTCTGTCCTTCTACAAGACCTATGATTTTCGATAATCTTGACAGACAAAGAAAAACTCAAAACAAATATATCATATATGTATGAAATTGGGGAAACTGAAATTCTTTATTCTTGGTCTGGATGGGTATGACTTGGTCTGGGTGTGGAGAGGAGGTGTATGGAGGGGGGGTGTAAAAATAATTTTTTTTGATATGGGTATCAAATAAAAGGTAATAATAATATTTTTTTATTGTAATAATAATAATCACACATAGAGGGCGGGTCTAGGTCTTGGGGGGTCAGGAATATTTTTATCACCACAAAATATCGATATGAGTATCAAATAAAAGCTAATTTAAATATTTTTAGATTGAAATTATTCATTTTTTTCTTGATGGGTATTATGTCTGTCAGGCCCTCAACATATTAACAAAATGTCTAGTTGGATAGAATTTACAGAAATAAAAGAGAATGAAGATAAAACAATTTTTCAAATCTTTTTTCGGTTCCACAGTCATACCCATTGAATAATTTTAATCTAAAGATATTAAAATTAGCTTTTATTTGATACTCATATCGATATTTTGTGGTGACAAAAATATTTCTGACCCCCCAAGACCTAGACCAACCCATTATGGGGGAGAGATTGACTTCCAGTTGAATAGATCTTTTGATTAGATCGATTGATACCCTATGTTAGACATATCTTATTTCATAAGGCCAAAAAAAACAATATTGAAAATTAATGAATAACAATAAAATTAAAAAACGAAACGCGCGATTTTTAAAATAAGATTCTTCTATATCATGGTTCAAACGTGGTAATGCCTTATAGTTCTTTATCCTTTAAAAAATTGTAATTTTAAAGGGATCCCTTTAAATCCCGTGAAGATCCCGGATAGTTATGATCCCTTTAAAAATTACAACATATGTATGATGAAAAAAAACGTAAAGAATTGTTAAAAAAATGGACCTAAATTTATAAATTATTTTTAAAAATACAAAAGAATTATCAAAAATGAGAAGAAAAAAAATTGAGAAAAAATATAGTAAGAAAAATAAATTGAGAAAAGATACAAATAAAGTAAAGAAATCGCAAAAAGTTAGAAATAAAATAAGAAGGAATGATAAAAATAAATAAAATTTAAGAAAAATTTTAAAATTTATATATTTTTTTTAAAAAAATTTTAAAAATTACGATTTTCCTTTTTTGAATGGGAATTTTCCTTTTTTGATTGACACTTTTCCTTTTCTTTTGGGAATTTTCCTTTTTCGATTGACACTTTTCCTTTATTGTTTGACACTTTTCCTTTTTGATTGGGACCTTTTCCTTTTTTGTTTGACACTTTTCCTTTTTTGATCGGACTTTTGCCTTTCTTTTTGGGAATTTTCCTTTTTTGATTAACACTTTTCCTTTTTTGTTTGGACCTTTTCCTTTTTTGATTGAACCTTTTCCTTTTTTGTTTGGACCTTTTCCTTTTTTGATCGGACCTTTTCCTTTTATGATTGAAACTTTTCCTTTTTTGAATGGGAAACCCTGTAATAAATGTGCCTTTTTAAATTATTTTTTTGCCAAAATAAAATCTAAATGGTTTAAATATATTTTAAAATAATGGCCACCTCTCCTTATTATTTGATTCTTGCCGTCTTAATGACATTTGCTTTGCTATTTAAATTACCTATAAAGTATATTATATTGACTAAAAATGTAACCTCCAGCTTAACGTAGTCACTACTTACTGGCGACAGGGCTTGGGAAAAATGCAAAAAAATAAGGGAATGGTGCACTCTAAAAAAGACCAAAAGTAAATCTATATAGAATCAGTCTTTTTAATATTTAATTTTATCATAAAAATAGATTAAATTTTTTTAATAAAATAAACATAAATAGAAATTGAACAAAGAAAAATTGCAAAAAAATATGCACTTTCTGTATGTAAACCTATAGGAAGAAACATAAAGCAAAATTCGTAGGGACCTCTATCAAATAAAAACAAAAAATTATTAGTGCTGTTAAACAGCTCTATTTGAGCTGATTTTAAAAAACGGCTAGCTCAATATATTAGCCAGAAAAATTTAGCCTAAGCCTTGAGATTTCGCTAATAGATGTCCAAATCTGCCATCTATGAAATCTTCAGGCTTGCATAATATTTTTATGGATAAAAATTGAGTTCACAGCTTTTAAAAATCGTCTCTAATTGAGCCGTTCAACAACACTAATTATGGAGGATCTTCCCATAATTTGAACTCATTGAATCTGTAAAAATTTGGCTTAGGCCTCCACGCTCTTCGAGTGTTGCTACCAAGATCCAACTCAAATCTCCCGATCGTGAACTTGAGTTGGACACCCGAGTCGAACCCTATTTTTTAAATTTTCCATAACTCTACTAAATAAAATTTTGAAGGATCCATAGCCCTCCAAAAAATTATACATATATATTTTTAAATATATTACTCTAATTTTGATGTAATAATCTTCCTAAAAATTGACTATTCCTTATCAATTTATATTAAGCACCATGCTTATCCTTCAAAACCTTATTTAGTATTTGTTGGAATAAGCAGAACATTCTTTTTTATTATTTCTCTTTTCATTATATTAAATTTTCCCTTTATTAATAGAAAGCTCACAAAACAATTATATAAATTCATGATAAATAAATATTACACCTTTGTGTCAACGAACCAACGAACGGGTTCGTTATCAGTTGTACTACGGCTTTCGAGGCAAACATGATTCCCACCTTAACATTTTGTTCCACTAAAGTCACGTGCCTGTAAAGAGTCATATTCAATTTTGGCGAAATACTTGTTGCGGAATAATTTTTCCCCAATTCGCTCATTAAATCGTAATACTGCAATCTATCAAATAAATAATCTAAATCTTTATCACCGTTTTTTTTTAGAGTATAATCCTGTTTATTTGTATGAATAAGCATTGTTTCAGAAATATTCGAAGGGTCATTTTGTATTGCAAGATACTTGTTTAGTTTTTGTTGATATAAATAGTCTGGAATTATTGGAACTTTAAATATCAAAAATAAATTAATGAAAGTTTATAGTAATAATTGTATATATTTAGGATTTAGAATTGATTGGAATTTGTAATCTTTCAATGTAAAATCATTTACTGAGAGATTTTTAAATCAAAAAACCTGATTTGGACAAAAATATATTTCAACATATAGAGAGTACCCACACACATTGTAAATTACAGACAATTTTTCCTAGAACTGTGTTAACAAGCTAGTAATTTTTATCCGTTTTTACGTATTTTTTTTCATAAGAATTTAAAAATAAACAAAAGTTCATGGCAAATATTATTTATAATTATATATTAGCTAAATCTACTCAAATAAAGAAACAATTAAATCTAAAAAAATTTTTATAGGATAGATATTCTTTAAGTGCTGGAATGCATTTCCTGTACAGAGTTATAAAATTTAAAAAAGCGCTTGGTAAATGATATAAAATTGAGATTCCGAATCCCAGTGGAATTTATAACCCATTACGACATATACATATAAAGATAATTAATTTATGATGCTTGAACTAGCTTTATCATCGGGTAAAATATATTTGTTATAATTTTTTATTATAAAATTTATATATAAAGGATTAATTGAATCTTTATCGTACCCATTTTAAATCAATTATTTTTAGTTTGAAATGAATAAGTTGACTTACCGATATATTGTGACTTGTTGTTCAGTAATATATTTTTAAAGATTTTATATAAAAAAATATTAACACTTTATTCTACCTATGATTGTTAGCAAAATATTGTCCAAAAGAATAGCCATAAAAACAACGAACAATACCAATTTTCTAGACCCGCGATTCCTTTGGAACATATCCTCGAATTTGGATTTGATTTGTAATTTATTTAGCATAATCTTCTTTTTTTGGCAGTTTACCTTTAAATTTTTGTCCTGCCCTTAGGGGTCATTTATATATTTTGTGTTTTTCGATAATTTTACTTTTAGTAACAAAATATTACGATTTTATTTAGAAAAATTTATTTTTTTAACAAAGAAAAAAGAAAAATAGATATTGTAAAAAAAATATTCAAAAATTATAAATTATTATTTATTTTATAATAATATTGTTTTTTTTTGTTTATGTTTTCTGAATAATACTTAATAAAAACTAAAAAAGTTTATAAAAATTAAAAAGTTATATTTAATTAAATATCAAAAACGAGACAAATATTTTTTGTTACTCATTAATATATATAATTTTAATTTACATAATTCCCTCTACCCCAATTTTTGAAAAGTTAAATGAAGGTTATTTTGAGATGACATATTTATATAATATTTTTATATTACCCCTGGCGTGGTTAAAAAAATGAAATTAAAAATACTTTTATCATAAAGTATAAAAATTTTGATACCTAATCCATTTTATTAAAATCTAAAAGTTTAACCCTAGAGAGGTTAGGTTGGGGAAAAATAAATAGGTAAGGTATGGCTTAACTCCATTTTAATACTATTATATTAAATCTCATTTAAAATTTTATAACCTCTCCTACAAAACTTCTATGCAGCCTGCAGCTCCTATTAGCAAATAAGAGAAGTTTTTAATTACATTTATTTATTCATGATTGTTCCGTTTAGAATTATAGAAACACATTTATAGCTATAATCTACTCTGCCACATTTGATGGCCGTGCTTTAACCTTATTCATAGAACTGTGTAAAATCAGTAAAATTACCGATGAACCCAGGGAATGTTTTTATCTTAGTCAAAGCCTTTCCATCGTCATTCATAAATTCAATCACATCAGTTTCATTGGAAGTCTCCTTCCTTAGGAGTTAACCTAGCTTTTAAAAAAAATTTAATATTTTATTTTTTTATATATAATTATTATACTAACATAATATTGTATTTATATTATTATAACTGTTTTAATTTGATATTCTGGCGAATATAGAAATATTTTTCAGGTTCTTCAGATAGATTGTAACCTTTCTTCCTATCTCCTTCAAGAAGAAAGATGCCTCGTAGCCGAAGTTTCTGAGGGTTGATGTGACATCAGGAAAAAATTAATATTGTTCTGCTCTGAATATTTTTTTCTCCTCTGAAAGAGAGTTTTCATGCGTGTTTTGCGCATATGTCTACACATGTGTAATCAAGCGAGAGGGATATCTCTTTCCCATAGAGTTTAGGTTAAACCATATGGCCTTTCACCATCTAAAGTATAGAGACCTAAGGGCTCAAGGGTGTATCATATGTTGGCTCTTCTTAGAGCTTTGGATATTATATTGTTGACTGCTGAGCTATGCCTAGGATGGCGGTCTTTAAAGAACGGGCAATGCAATGGATGGTGTCCATTTTCTTCAACTCTTATGGTGCAGAGAGAGAGCAGTTGAAAGATTAAACGATATTGCAACCAGTAAGAAGATTAATTGATATTCTTAATTGTTCGGAAAATAGATGAACACTGAGATTTTGGCTGGGGTTAGCTTCAATAATCCATTGATAGCTATTGTCATAGAAAGTTAGTTAATCCTTCTGGTTTTAGGTTAGATAATAGTAATTAAACTAAACATTCAACTAAAGGAAAATCCCAATCTTACGCAAACAGGAAGAAGGGTAATGGGCGATTGAAGATTTATTTACTTTCCAAATCTAGAGTGTAGAATATAGGTGTTTATCTGGAAGTATGCATAGGTCGGATATTAAGCAGCCTGTTGATAGTCTTGAAGAGATGTAACGTTGAACGAATACCGAGGCCCTCACATTTTGATAATGATGTATAATCCATGATATAGGAGGGATAGGGAGGTTAAGGTTCTCAAATATTCTTTGATTTGATTTTTATGTTCAACGAGTTAGTTTAAATTAAAGAAAATGGGGGAAGAACTAAAAGTGTGTATACGTTTAGTATTTTAGAGAAAATCTTTGATTAAAAAAGGCGTGTTGAGATGATAATTTGCTGAGAATTGGTTAGAAGTTTAGGAATTACTTTAAGATAGTGAGAAATATATTCTCCGCGTCCGGACCACCAATGGGTGTCTTTAAAAGGGTTATTTATTTACGATCAAAAAAGGTCAGATGGCCATGGAACATCAGTGGATTAATTCAAAAATATATAAACACATCATCATTTAAATTTTTCACTCAATTAGCAAATGCAGTTACAAATGTTTAATAAATAACTATTTTATAATAAAGGTTTATAATATTAGCATAGAATAAAAACTGAAACAAACGCCCATAATTTTTTAAATTAATTTCTGAGAACTTAAGAATACTTAAAGCTGAAGATTTATACTGAATTTCACTGATATTTTACTTAAAATCAAAAATGATTTTGGAAAGTAAAAATTTTGATTTTCTGAGAATTTTTTTTATTGAATTTCAGAATCAATACTAAATCGCTCAGAATATCTTTCTACTAAAATATTTATTTTCAAATTAAAGTTCATCAAATAAATTAAGTTTTATTAATCTATTTGTTTAGTTTTATTATTCTATGCTCGAGGTCTAAGTCATGAGTGGGGGAGGGGGGGGGGGAGTATAATTTATTAACCTAATATTAAAATGGATATCAATTCAAAGCTAATAAAAAAGATAAATTGATTATATTAATATACAACAATATATGTCATCAGGGTAGGTAGGAACGAGAAGGGGGGAGGGGTGTATCATCACTTTATTTCTTTGAAGTAGATAAAGGGGATGGGAATGAGGGGGGGGTTTAATATTTTCTAGTATAATGTCTCAATATGGGTATCAAATAAAAGCTAATTTAAGATCAATTGATTATATTGATACTCAACTCTTCAGAGATTGATGAGTTGGGACATATTACGGAGATCAATTGATGCTAATATCTTCACGTCATCAAGGTGAGTGCTGTGGGATTAAAAAGTTTCTAGCATAATATTTCAAAAAAGAGTAATTTGTCATATTGTTAATTGTAACTATTATTCATTTTTAAAATAAGCCCTTGTATAAAGTAATTTTTATTTATAGGAACCTATGACAAAGGGGGTAGGGGAGTCACGTAATATAGTCATTGAAATTAGAGTGTGCAGAAGTTCACGGGAAACGGAAGAGTCCAATATTCTTTAAAATTCAAAATCATATACAATTTCTTAAAATTAAATATTAAGAAAATATTTTTTTGAGCAAATAAGTAACTAGTTCTAAGCGTTTCACATATAAATAGTATTTTTTTCTGCGCGATTAAGTTTTTTTATCTGAGCATAGGAAATAGTTCTTAGCATTCAGTATTTTTTTCGAGTATTAAGGTAGTGTCCTAGGTCAGCATAATTTATGTACTTAATTGCTTTTTAGGACAGGCTTAAAAGTATTTGAACAAGGACACCCTAATTTGGCTTGTTTAGTTAGTCATTTTTTTTAAAAAGTATACTTAAAAGCGATAGAACAATTTTTTTGTATGTATCTTAATTGTTCAAAATTTTTGTTTAAGATGTAAATAGAGAAAAATTGAATAGTAACATAATTATGGAATAAAGATGTTTTTCTGATTAGTAATATGTAGTATATGGAATATATAATATATATTTTTGTAATAAATTTAATTTATATCAAACCTAATTTTTTTCTTATTTTAATATAAGTGTATAAATTGCAACACCCTGATTGATATAATAATGGAATAATAAGTAGATTAGCAATTAATCTCATTTGATAAACTTATAATATATACAATTTAAAAACATAATACTGTAATAGCTCACCTAGTACAGTTCTGTTAATGTCTCTGCAAGGTAAAATTTCTACACTTTTTTAAAAAATGTATTTGATACAAAAATTTATAATAATACGGGAACTGTATAACTTTTTAAAATTTAATTAGTGCTGTTAATGCTAGTTAGATTTATTGGAGAGATAATTTTGTAAAAATCACTATTAGTTACTTTTGAATTTGATATAATGAGTGACATTTTAAAAAATAACGACCGAATTAACTAGTTACTTTCAAGTTACTCATAAAATATATTTCATTCATTATATTTATATGATATCACAAATTAAAAATTTATTTGTAATTTTATCGTCTGATGTAAATAATTTTATTTTTGTTTATATAACTAATACTTTTAATTTCTCTCTCAGAGACGCATTTATAAATTAAAATATAGAAAATAATTTTCATGGAACTTTGCCACTAATTTATGCTCTATCAGCTTATGCGGATTCACAAGAGTAAATTAAATATATTTGAATCGCCATGATAAAAGCAAAATTCATATGAATATTTTAATATTTAATTATATGATTGTATCATTTATGCAACATATATCCATAAGATATACAAAATGCAATCAAGAAAGATTAGCTATTACTCTACGGTATATTCGCATGTTTGCTCAAATATATATAATTTAAATTGATATGTACAATCGTTATTTAGAAATCTCAATGAGTGGCATACTTAAAATCTTAATTTCTTCTTACTTTTTTAAGATATTTAACCGATACTTAAAAGCCGGCTAAATAGCCGACTATAAGCCAAACTAAAACACAGCCGTAAGATTTTTTTTTTGAGCAATTCAGTTATAATTTTGTGCTATTTAATAGGAACCTGTAATAAATATAACATTTTGCAAACAAATTTTGTATCAGACTCATTTATAAAATTAGTGAATATAGATTAATATATTTTAACCAATTTTGAACTAAAAAGAAAAAAAATACAAAATATTTTCTAATAGATAATGCTCTGGTGTTTATCAAAATTCTTATTCAGTTATCATGAAAATGAAGCTAAACAAAAGGCAAGGTTGTTGAAATAATAAAATATTTATACTTAGATATATAGATTATATTTAATAGAATGTCAATCAAATATTATTATTTTTTTGATTCTAAAAAATATAAAGATATTGATTTTTATGATTATACTATTGGAATTTATTATATGAAAAATAAAGTGTACTTCTTGTAGTTTAAAATTTATCGTATCAGAGTTAAAAAAGTGAATTTTATACATCTAACACTAACACATACTCTAAAATATACAAACAAATATGATGCATCATAA